CTCCCCTGGCGGCGCTAGAAGAGAGGACTAGGGTTCAGGAAAAGGGGTGAAAGGGGTAAGTTTCGGAGAGAGGGACTAGGGTTATTGTTGTTTGTGTACTTTAGAGAGACAAATGAATAATATTATTAATTTATTTCACGTACCTAATACCTATTTGATGAGACATAAAAAAAATTGTATTTCATGTGTTTCTTTACAAGGGTACCAAACAGTCTTTTTCATAAGAGAGAACTCGTTGTGTGCGTTGAAAACTTGAAATAAGCATTCAACAAATTAAATCATGTACAAATGCTAGTCTTTCACGGGACCTTTCGGGGTTCCCTAGCTATAGGTTCAGTTAGAGCATTCATAATAGATTTCCTAAACCACTTCATCATATAAAATTTAGGGAGAGTGACAAAACTCACATCTAAGAGCATTAACAATGGGTTCCCTAAATCACATCATTAGACAAATTTTAGGGAGGAATGATAAAAATGCAACTCCAGCCACGCTCCCTATCCACCTCCTAAAATAGGGAGTTCTCTAAGAGCTCCTAAATCTGAGGAGAGAGAAAGGACTCCTAGTGGCTCCCTATAATTTAATGCTGATTTATTTAATGAGTATTTCAAACCTTTATTTAATGCTAACCATTTTTTATTTTATTTTTTAATAGAGATGGACCAATTAAAAAAGAGTTATAGCATTTATGACTCTCCAAATTAGGGAGTATGGTTGGAGTTGAAATTTTTTAGAGAGCTCCTAAAATAGCTTTCTTATATTCTTAGCCAAATTTTAGCTAAAAAATAGAGAGCGTCAATGTGGATGCTCTAACCACGCTTTCTATCCAACTCTTAAAATAGGGAGACCTCTAGGAGCTCTTAAAGTTTTGGTGAGAGAAATGGCTCCTAGTGGCTCTCTAAAATTTAATGTTGCTTTATTTTATGAGTACTTTAAACCTTTAATTAATGCTAACTATTTTTTAATATATTTTTTTATATATAGATGGACCCATTAAAAAAGAGTAATAACATTTATGAATCCCTAAACTAGAGAGTATAATTGGAGTTAAAATTTCATGGAAAGCTCCTAAAATAGTTTTTGTATATTTTTAGCTAAATTTTAACTTAAAAATAGAGAGCATGATTGTAACTTGTTTTAAATACCAATTTCGATCACATTTTGTCACCAAATGCTAATTGTCAAATCTCACCAATTCAAGACAAAATGACTCTTTAGGAAGGCGATCATGAAACAGGGGTTATTAGTTAAGAAGTTATTCTGATCTAATAAGGATGTTCAAATATGAATCTGTTGTTTAACAATTACATTAGTTATGAACAACTGAAAATCATAACTGATATCAGAATTCTACCCAAATCACTTGAAATTGCCAAAAATAGAATGGAAAGACGGTAAAAGTATGCATGAGAAGTTAATGGCAAGACAATACAGATCTCTTCAAATTTCATGTAAATGTTTACCACAAACAGAATGGATTATCCAAACAACTCAATCTCCTAGTTGACCACATAACTAACCAACCCACCTTCACAACCACAAATGTTGATGTTACAGCAACTATACACACAAAAATACAAGTTTCAAATGAAGCACATTGCAATACATGACAGGCAAGAAAAATCAGGCAACACACAATTAGCTCAGGCAGTGTTTCATCACGGCCCATGTCTTCATTCTCTTCTTGAGAAATTTTCACTAATATACATGCATTCATCGAGATGCCAGTGACCAGAAATTCAAGAGAAAAGATGGTAATGCGGTGAACCAGGATATGAAGGCCATGGCTGTAGCTGTTTCAAACTGTGCACAATGGTTGTGGGCACAGCTATCAAGATCATTGTCTATAAGAACTGTGATCCCTGCGGAAGCACAAGCTGCAGCAAACGTAAGAGTGGATGTCATCTGCAGCAGAAAATGGTAGATCGTTTCAGCCACAGCTCATAACTACATGCTCAAATATAAACTGTGCAGAATGCAAGCAGAAGGGAGGAAAAATGTTGAAAACAACACCAATAACTGGAATATCTAGAGCAAGTTTGGGGATTGCATTAAATATATTTCAGCATTTATTGTGCATGGTATCACTACAGGAATGAACTTGATAAAGAGGATTTTCCTTAGAAGGGAAAGCCTTCCCTACCAAGTATGTTGGGGCTTCTAACTTTGGTTACAATGCTTCCATAATTAACATATAAGGATCATTTTCCTTAGTTTGCAATAAAAACATCCTAAAGTGACTTAGGAATAGGAAGTTAATTTCCACAAATCAAAGCAGGACCATGCTAATTAGGCAAAGCACTTCCTACCACCCAGGTTACCATAAACACGCGGCTCGAACTGAGGATAGAGTGAAACCAGTTTTTTTCCCAAAACAAATGCAAAGTTGTCAGCCACTCCATTTAGACTCAGAATCAGATCCATTATGCTTTTGCATTATCAGTGGTTAGCAAGGAATTGGACAGCATCAATTAGATTCAATATTACTGATTATAAAAAAAGGCTATACATCTTGTAAAGAAGGCTATAACTTTTTGGCCATTTAGAAGTAAATTTGACAATGAGATCTTGATGAACACTAGAAAATGCTTCATTCTGAATGTAGACAGTAGAAACCAAACAAAAACAAGCAAGACACACATTCCCAAATGGTTGAAAACAATGAAATCTGCTAAAAATAATATCGAATTACAACTAATCTTGATTATTACCCCATCACCAAGGGTGAACAAGCACACAACTCGATGGTTCTGCAAAGTCCGCCTAACTAGAAGGGCATAAACGTCAACAATGGCCAACGAGCAGCTCCACAAACACTGCAATCCAGCAGCTGCAACAAGGTAGCTGAAATGCACACATAACAGAAGAAGAAACCCAAAAGAAGAAAAACCCAACTGTTAACAACCACATTGAAATCAAAATAATCAAACCATCAAAAAGACAACAAAGCTGAAAATAGCATATGGGTTGGTTGAATGTGGCGCGACCCACCAAAAGGCTGTGACTGAGGGGAAATCAGAGGTGGTGGCCATGACTACAAGCGCGGCGGCGGAGAAGAAGAGCTGGGAGAGGCGCAAGGCAAGGCCGCCGTGGGTGCCGGGCATGCCCGGAAGGTCCTTCATTCGGACCCGGAGCGGGTGGGGAACGGCGCCGTCTGTGGTGGGTACATCTTCAACTGGGTGAACCGATCCATGGCTCACGTTCATTTCCTCCTGGTTCGGTCTTCAATTGTTCAGAACCATGAAACAGTCATTGATTAGTCAACGATCGTCTTCTGGGATCTGGTGGGATGAGAGTAGAAACTTGTGGGTAAAGCAGCGTGAAAGGAAGATGGAGAAACTGGAGAGAGGAGATCAAATGGGTTTATTCATTTCAGGAGTTTTTGAGTTTGTGAGTGGTTTGGGTTAATGACATGACTGGTGGATCCATCCAATGAGATTTGGACATTTTCGCTGTTTTCCTTTTTGTAGTTGTTGTAGTAGTTGTTGCTTCTTGTTATTGTTTACTTCCTTCCACTTTGGAATTGGTTCATCCGCTTAGGGTAGTCAAATAAGATTTTGACAGTTTCACCACTAGTCTGGAGATGGGATATACTTCCCGTCTTACCCTTCCGAGTTCGAATTTCCACTCCTGTGTCAAAAAAAAAAAGAAAAAAAAAAAGAATTTACTTTACTCAACCTAGGTAGGCGGTTCTACTTGATGAAAGAATCTTTAAAATTTAGAAACTATATAAAACCCCCCAAATTATAAGGTTATTTTCAAGTTCATACTCAATTTTTGAGACATTTATGAGTACATACTCAAATTTCTAGAAACCCTACAAATTGCCCTCTTTATTACCTATACCGTTAGTGAATCTATTAAATGTTGATGTGGCAAATGTGGAACCCTTTTTTGATGACGTGGATTTCCAAGTGGACAAAAAATTATTTTATTGTTTAAATTATTTATTCTTGTTAAATTAATTCAAAATTTAAACAAAAAATAAAAATAAAAATTTGGCAAAACCCAACAGCCACCCCTCCCCACCCCCAAACCGAGCAGTCCCCCACAGCTCCAATGAGCAACACCTAAGCTCAGCCAAGCTTCAGTAATTCTCAGGCAATGGTATGAAACCCATATTCCCCATATTTGAACCCTGAGTTTAGATAAATTTTGGACACCCATGCTCATAAACATTAACAATCAAATCATACTGCAAGTGAAAAAGGAACTTTTCGATTTCAATTTCCATTTTGGATTTCGAATTTTTATGTTTTCCCATCAAACCAAAACAGTAAACGCCATAGGCCATCCAAATCCATGGATCCAAACAAAGTGGAAGCCAAGCGCTTGCTCGGAATCGCCTAGAAGCTTCTACACCCGAGATTTGAGCAGTTGTCGTGACTTCGCAATTCTGGCTCAAAAGATCGAGCAATTATTGGATGGCTCAAATCAGATCTTAGCCTTCGCCGACGTGCTCTTGACCGCCAACAAGCGTATAAACAACCACCTAAACTAGTATATAGTTCTCTAGGTTGAAGCTCATGGCGACTGGAGATGGTTATGGGTCGGGAGGAGAGATGTCGCAATCGCCAAACTTCATCTTCATCACCAAATTGCCGCAATCTTCATCGCCAAACCTAAAACTAGTTATTTTCTTATTGATTCTTAGTTTGTTAAAGTTTTCTAAGAATCAATTAGAAAATGACAGGTGTCTAGTTTTGGAATTTTCTCTCCAAATAAACTCTATATGAGTTTTTGTATAATATATCATATAAAAATGAGCCTATTTATAAAACCTATTTTTCTTATAGTTGTCAATACATTTTTTCTCAAAATCAATATATATTTTTAATATAATATTTGTAAATGGCTTTTTCGATCCAACAGCTACAGATGGGCTTGGGCTGCTGTAAAGAGCAAATGGCTGGAATTGCCCCTTGCGTCTGAGTTCAAGAATCATACCCCAAAGGTGCTTCAAAAGGTTCGTGGAGCCTTAGGAAACACCTTGGCTTCCTTCACCAACAAAACCAACAATTGCTTATAGATAAATATTATGGTTTGGCATGAGAAGTTTGTGGCATGAGAGCTGAGCATTCATGAGTTTAGCCTGAAAGAGAGCATGCTTGGGTTTCCTATGAGAAACAGAGGTTCATAGTAAGGGGAAGAGAGAGTTTTTGGGAGAATTTGTTGAATGGATAGAGGAAGAGATAAGGGTAGAAGAATGAGTGGCTTGAGCAAGTTTCCAGCAGCTTGACTAAAGTTTTGTCAAGCTTTTGAGTGACTTGATAGAAGAGAAAAAGGGAAACAATGGAAGAACATGGCTTGAAATCGAATGGTTCTAGTGGAGAGAGGTGATGTTTGCTCTCTCTGGATGTGTTTATCGGAAAGAGAGGAAGAAGATAGAAGCATAAGTGGCTTTAACAGATTTTCAGCAGCTTGACGAAAGCTTCGTCAGGCTCTTGGGTTGCTTGATAAAAGAGAAAATGGGAATAAATGGAGGAATATGGCTCGAAATTGAAGTGTTTCAGGGATGAGAGGTGATGTTTGTTCTCTTTGAATGTGGGTTTTGGGAGAGAGAGGAATAAGATGGAAGAACAAAACATGAAATTGAAGAGTTCCAGAGGAGATGCTTGCCTTCAATCTGTTATCTTTGCTGGGTAGAAAATGCCTCTCTTTATAGGCGTCGAAACACTTAATTTTATCAAGCCACCCTCTCCCATTTTCCTTCACTTTCTTCAATTCCATCTTAGTTGGTGAAACTTTCCTAGCCTGAGCATGTAGGCATGAAGCTTTTTGGAGTTCCAAGACCTTCACGCAACTGGACTTCTCCATGTGGGTGATGCACTACTCACTTTTCCTTCTTGTTTTCTCACCAAAGCTTGCAGAGGAAATAATGGGTAAGGGTGCTGGTCAAAAGGTGATTTAGTTCCATCAACACATGAGTTTGCTTGGTTTTGGTGGTTTGGCTTTGATCTAGTTTTAACAAAGATGCTGGATATTTTATAATGTGCTGGGCTTGGCTATTTTGTTTCCAGTGGCTGGTAAGTTCCTTTTGATTTCGTCAAGCTGCTGGAAGCTTTGGCTGATGTGGGATTTTTTCAAGTGTTATGGGCATTTTCTTAAGGTGATGGGTTATTGGGTTTTCTCTCTCATGCTTACCCATATGTTTGGGCTTAAGGAATGTGCTTGAGTTTTGGTGCTCCCAAGTAGCCCAAAACTTCCACTCCTTGGACCATCAATGGGCCTCATGAATACTCGTAACCATTCATATCACAACCCGCTCAGCAAGGCCCAGACATTCGTGTGGCTTGGGCCTACTTAAGCTTGTAGCGTGATGTGTTGCTTATTTGTTTGGCGTGGCACGTGTACAAGCGCATATGACGAACTCTTGCTTACCTAAGTTGGGTTTCTTCCCAAGTTAGGTGTCGTATTAGGCTAGAAATATATTTGAGCTCAGCCTTGGATTTTTTGGGCTTCAACAATATTTATGTGCTTTATGTCTTTGTTTTAAATTTCTTTTTTAGTGTAAATTTTTAATCATTTTATGTGTTAGCATTTTAATTATGACTTTTCACAAATAGGTCCCTTCTAAGAGCATCCATAGTGGGGGATGTAAATTTGGGGGTGTAAAGCCACTTTTACATCCCCTTTACACCTCCGGGGGGTGTAAATATGTTTTTTGCTCCAATGGGAGAGTGTAAATTCGGGGGTGTAGCCGTGAGTCTCAGCCTTTTATGTTGACTTTTCTTCCTTTTTCTTTTCTTTTCTCGGGTGGGTCCTGCCTTCAAGGGATGTAAAAATAGATGTAAATATACATTTTATTTTACATTCTCATGGTCGTAATGTATATTTACATCCATTTACATCTCCCCATTGGAGACGATTACGATGACTCGGGGTGTATATTTAACATACACCCCCATATACACCTCCTCACTGTGAATGCTCTAACATGCTCACGTAACCATTTGAAGCTTACGTCTTTAGTGGGGGTTATTATAACCTACAGTGCAACCCACCGCATGTAACCATACATACCCAGTCGATGTAAATTGTAATTACCCTTTGTCAGGCCGCCTCACTCCTTCAATTCTCTGTCGAAGCCCACCTTCCGGTGATTCTTCGAGCGCCGCTGCCGCCGTTCTTAGGTAAACTCATTGACTCTTCTCAGTTCAGTATTTTTTTTTTTTGTGGCGGAGCGCACAAACAAGTTGCCATGAAATTTATTGAATACTATTGTTTACTCTGAATCTTTGAGGAAAAATGAGAAGGCTTTCATTAGCCTTAGCCAAAATCATGAACTGGGTCTAGCCCATGGGAAATAAAATGCTTGCAATTTCATAGCTTTCTGCAAATTTCCCTCGGAAACCATAGTTTTCAGAATTGGCTCCAGGCCTGGTTAGAACTTTGAAAGTTAGCAGTAATTCAATGGGCCTTGTTTACTTGCTTGTGGGAATGATGTGAATGTGTTTGTTAATTTTCCTGTTTGAGTGATACAAGTCATGGCATGGTAGAGGGTTACATTAATTGTTACTGTAATTATTCTAGCTAAAGTGAAATGTTTTCTATGCCCAAAAAAGAAAATTGTTGTGAAAGATGATAGTTTGTTATGTCATAGAAAAGCTATGTTACTAATATGCTCTTAGCGTAGGTTTCGAATCCTATTTGGGATTCAGAATGAAAGGGTACGCTTTGACTGTTAAAGAGTAGGTAACCCCTTCCATGTGTCTTTGTTTCTATTGCATTCTAGCTCATCATATCACATTTTATTCTGCAATATTTGAGTGTCACTGTCAGTTCCTCGGCTTAGGTCCGCGATAATCCTTTGTTCCACAGTCTGGGGCCATTTACAACTTTCCAATTAAGAATTTTCAGATGTACAAGCAAGTGTTAGATTTTGACATACATAGATTGTATAGACAATGAGGTATAATGCAATAGAAGTATGAAAACTTGTTAAAGGTCGTTATGACCCGGTAATGTTGTCTTCAACCTTAATGAAAGTACTGTGAATCAATAATAAAACTTTGGCGTTTATTGTCCTGAGATAAATTCTTGGTTTCACCTCTGTTTTCTTGGCCCTTTTTCAATAGGCAATGCTCCTATCTCTTCTGCTGATATCTTTGTTAGTTTTAGGGTACACATTTATGGTTTCACATGTTTGCTGATTAGTTTTAGTTGATTTATTGTGAGAAGAAGAAAATGGCATTGGGACTAATTCTAGGGCTAGGAAGGGCATTTCGTCGAAAGCGCACATCATTGCTTGACATTCTTTCCTCCAAACATGCCCCAAGGGACTACTACAAGGGGAAGAATTGCAAGCCCATTGGTTTCCACACTAGAAAAGGTTTGCCTCATTTCCCTTTTTGCAAACTTGGAAAGGTGCTCTTTCAATTTTTAAGGGTAAGAATTATTACTTGACATGTTATCCAAATTGCCCAAAACTTTTGCAACTAAGTATGTCGTGCAGCATGAGAAATTACCTAACTATGCAGTCCCCGATTTAACCGACTTCAAGGTGAGCATGTTTCTATTTTTTTTTTCTGTTTCTTTTGTTGTATTTATCATTTATAGTTTTTATCTGTAAATGAGTGTTTCCAATTGCAAAATTCATAGCTGAACTCTGCAGCTCTTACTTCAATACTTATGTGATTCTAAATTGTTTTTCCCCTTCTTGCTTGCAGCTCAAACCATATGTATCTCAGTGCCCAAGAGATGTCAAGACTAGTGAGTCTGCTGGATTAACTAAATAAGCATACCGAGTGACAAGCATTTGATTTGTTTGTTTATTGTTTTAATCGTGAATTAGGTCAATATCTTGTTTGGCAGGTTCATGCCTTGGACTTGTTCAAGTAATGAACCTTTCTTCTTGGTTGAAGCATTGCTTTATTTTATTTTTCTGGTCAACTGCACCAAATTATTTATACGCAAGAGAAGGAGGCAGAAAATTGCCGTATAATATGTAATTGTGGCAAAAATTATGATTTGGTATTTGCTAAACACAAAAATTTAATTAAGGAACTAATGCCAAGGGCAAGCAGGTCTTACGAAATCTTTGGTTTAGTTTTTGGGTTTGACTCCTAGCACCAAAATATTTTTAAAAAAAGTTTGTTTTACCGTTTTATTTATTGAGTTTTTCTATTTAAACCCCCCACTTTTCTTTGTTTACCATAATACTTAAATCATTAAGCTCTTAAGTTTTATTATTGTGTAAAAAAACAAAAAAGGTCATCCAACTTATTATGAATGATATCTAGTTGCAAACCATAGCTGCTTAAATAAGAATATGTCAATTGAAGGCTATGATAACCTAGGAAAATAGCTTTAATTGGTTTCACATTAAGTAAAGCCTCCAAACCAGACTTGAAATCTAAGTGAATGATATATAGTTGCAAACCATAGCTGCTTAAATAAGAATATGTCAATTGAAGGCTACAATCATACCGTAGGCATATCTATGGCTAAAATTTCTTTTAATACGCTAGTTTGTTTGATAATGGTAACTTACATATTAATTTAATTGTCAACATTTCTCTATCAAAACCTCACAATTTATTCTGAAATTTTTAATAATAATAAAATAATAGTGCTACACATTTGACAACAGTGTTTTTATCTCTTTAAGTAATATGAGGTTGAGGTGAACTTAGAGTGGTGAGGAGCAATAAAGCGGGGTGTGGAGTGTGAGGTTGATGAGTTTTTTATTTTATTTTTTTTGTTGGGTGCGTATTTAGGGGTAGTTTGGGAAGATAATGAGTTTTTTTTATAGAAATTGGGAAAATTTGAATTAGATGTTGGGATGAACTTAGAATATAGGATGAAATAGAGAAGTGTGGAGTTTAAATAGAAAAACTCTATTTATTTCTCCATCAGTGTGGAAGAAAAATAAATTTGAAAGACTTCTTGGGAGAGAAACATATGGGAAGCATAACTTTTAACAAACTAAAGGAGCTAGTGGGTATAACTTTTAGTTGGTTGAGCTCTTCCACTTTTATTCATGTGGGCAGAGATTTGAAATCCCTAAGCACCCAATGAATATTTGGGTAAATTCCCCTTCCCAAATCGCTTGTGCTAAAAAAACAAACCAAATGAATTTGAGATTTTAAAATACCAATAGATATAGCAATTACTAAGTTTTTTTTTTTAATCGTTAAATTTTTAATGGAAAATTTAATCATAAGGACATTTTAATACATGTATATATCCACTTCAACTAAAAGTAAGAAGAATAATAGAATATAACAAACATGTCTCACTAGATCTATAGTATAAAATCAATGTATATATTTTATGCATATAAACCCTAAACATCGCTTGAGAGAAAAAAAAAATCTAGAAAATCTCGTGTGATTTCACGCAAGTAGCTCAAGAGAAGATATTCTTTGAAACATAGGGCTAGTTTGGGAATGATTCTAGATAGGTCAAAATCACTCATGGAAAGAAACACCTCCCATGTGCTTCTCCATATAATCACTTTAAGAGCTCATTTGTGAGTGATTATGGATAGGCCAAAAAGCACTTATGTGAAGAATCACTTCTTTATACAATCACTTTAAGTGATTTTAAGTGATTTTATGGAGAAACACATGGAAGAAATTTGAGGATAAATCACTTATTAAAATCCCACGTGCTTCTCCCCATAATCACTTATTAAAATCACTTAGGCTTCGTTTGGTTCATGGAACAAATTTGAGGATAAATCACTTCCCATGCAATTTCCCAAGGGATGGGAAATGGAGATTCATTTATCATGTTTGGTAATCCTGGGAAAGTAACCAAGAAATACCACTTTATTTTCTTTAACATGTTTGGTTTGTGTAGGAATGAAAAACAAAGTTTGTTTAATTTTCCAAATATACTCAAATGAAATCAAATAAAAAAAGAATGCATTTAATGTTATATTGTAATTCTAAATTGTTAATGGGTACAATATGGTCATGAAAAATGTATATTTAATGTTGGCTCATTTTCTCAAACTTTCCAATGAGGTGGAAAACAAAACCCAAGGGGGGAGGAGGGCTTCACTTAACCTCATACTTTCCCATGTGCAAGACAACTATTTCCCATGTCTGGACTTACCAAACATGAGAAAGTAATTGATTTCCCATCCCCAAGTCTCCATTCCCATGAACCAAATGGGGGTCTTAAAGTGATTATATATGGAGAAAGCATATAGGGGGTGCTTTTCCTCATAAGTGATTTTGACTTATCCGAAATCACCTCCAGATGAGCCCTAAGGGCCCCGTTTGGTTCACGAAACGGATTTGAGGAAAAATCACTTCCCATGTCATTTCCTAAAGGATGAGAAATGGAAGATTTCTTTCCCACATTTGGTAATGCCGGGAAAGTAAATGAGAGATTTCACTTTATTTACTCTCTCATGTTTGTTCTGAGTAAGAATGGAAAACAAAGTTTGTATAATTTTCCAATTATACCCATATTAAATCAAATAAAAAAAGAATGCATTTAATGATACATTGTAATTCAAAATTGTTAATAGGGACAAAATGGTCATGAAAAATATGCATTGAATGTTTGCTCATTTTCCCAAACTTTCCCACGAGGAAGGAAAACAAAACCCAAGTTGAGAGAAGGGCTTCACTTTCCCTCTTACTTTCTCATGTGATAGGCAACCATTTCTTATGTCTGGACTTACTAAATATGGAAAAACAATTGATTTCTCATCCCCAAACCTTCTTTCCCATGAACCAAACCGAGCGTAAGTGATTTTAAGGAGAAACACATAGGAGGTGATTCTCCATAAAATCACCAAAATCACTTTTTTTTATAGAAAAGATTATAGAATCACTTTTAACAAACCACTTTTAACAAACCAAAGGAGCTAGTGACTATATGAAGAATCATTTATTTATTTAATTATTTTTTTTGTAGAAAAAATTATTGGTATTTTTAAAATCACTTCCAAATAAGCACGTTTGTGCATATATTTTGGTAGATATGGTTAGTTCATTTTCTCATAGTTCATGGATCAAAATGAACTATTTTAGTATGGTGGAGTAGTTGTGCTGTGATTTTGTGCTTTAATGTTTATTTTTTGTAAGAGGGGAAAAGGGCCACACACCCTAAGGTCAGCCACTAAAATCAAATATCACAATCATACAAGACCAATACAATGTAGATTGCATTATTTTATACACATAAAAAGTGTCACACATTTCATGCATGCATCAATCATCATATTTCTTTAATTCAAATTGATTTTTTATTTTTTATTTTGTCATTAATCTAATGATTTTACCTTGAGGGAAAATCAAAGTAATTCATGAATCATCATAACATCTACCACTTGAAAAAGTAAAAAAAGAAAAGAAAAGAAAAATGTTAATTTCACCTTATTTGTAGTTTTGTGTTCTCTCTCTCTCTCTCTCTCTCTCTCTCTCTCTCTTCTTCAGCATTCAGCAATTAGCCAAATAAGCCAACAAGCCGATTACCCTTTTTGCTCTCACAGCTTATTATTTTTTTGGGGGCTCATTTTCTCTCTCTCTCTCGATCTTCACGGCCTTTGCTCCCTCCTCCTCCTCACCTCATCGATCTCTCAAAAGAAAACTAGGGTTTCGACTTCGAACTTCAAAGCCACCGACCTCCCCACCCCTGCTCTCAAATCCCCACCTCTCGGCTTTGTCCCTGAAGAGGCCCTAGATTTTCTGCTGCTTCTTCTAGGGTTTACAGATCTAAGACAGCTCTTACTTCCCAGCTCTGCTTTCTACTTCTTCACCATGTTTTGGAAGCTCACTGCTCTCTCTGCCTCCTCGCCTGTAACTCTCTATCTTTCTCAATCTCTTTCATTTTAAAACCTCGTATTAGCTTCTTATTTTGAAATTACTGGTCTTCTGTTTGATCAATTTGCTGCTTATTCAGAAGTTTAATTGCTAATTATTTTTGTTTATGTTTCATGTCTAGCTGAGGGGCGTTTAATTTTTTTGTCTTATTGCAATTTACTTTTGACTGATCGGACTTAGCTGTATTAGTTTTCGAAATTGAATGAACAACTGGTTTTAGTAAGCAGTATTTTCCAGGATTTGTTTTTTTACTTTACAAGTGCCGTCTTTTATTAATCTAATTGTGATTAAAGTAGGTGAGCTCAAATTTTCTGAATTTGGGATATGTGGTTATCCTCTTCTTGCTTGCTGAGAGAACTTAAGGATATGTGATTACCCTCTGTTTGGTTGCTGAGAAAACTGAAGCATATGTGATTACCCTCTGGTTGGTTGCCGAGAAAACTTAAGGATATGTGGTTACCCTCTATTTGGTTGCTGCTCACTGTAGCAGCTTCTAATTCCTATGTACTGCGTTTTATTATTTTCTTTACGAGGGGTACTGCCTTTTAATATTTGGCCAGCTATAAACATGAGTAACAGTGTTCGACTGTTGTAGTTTCAAGTAACACAGGTTTCTTAGCTTACTACTGCAGGATTTTTATTCTTATGCCCGCTAATTGTTATTGTTGGTTTCTCTTCTGCTTGTTCTCCTTTACAGGTGGAGTCGGTGCTAGACAAGGACAATTTTACACTGGATGAGCTTCTGGATGAAGAAGAAATTATCCAAGAATGCAAAGCTTTAAACACTCGTCTCATTAATTTGTAATGTCTCGTTGTTTTCCTCTGTAGGGCTTGTACTGTTCCGCATATTATCAACTTCCCTATTGTATATATTATAAGTCAATACCAGAATTTGTTCTTTTTCCTTACAATTTTCTTGAATTTGTGAAGAAATGAATTGTACATGATATCTTGTATAATATGGAACTTGATTGTGGATGATACATTGATACCCTTGTGTAAGTTTTTGTTTTCAGTTTAAGGGATAGAGCCCAGGTGGAGCAATTATTGCGTTATATTGTTGAAGAACCTCCTGAGGATGCTGAAAGCAAACGAGCCTTCAAGTATTGTTCCATCTTGACAAAGATTTACTTTTGACCTTTTTTTTTTACACTTATATTCTAATGTTCAAACTCCAAACCTTTTTGGATTTTTATTTTTGTTGGTCTTGCTTCTGATTATTTGAGTAAACCTGTTTCATGATTTAGGTTCCCTTTCATTGCTTGTGAGGTTTTTACATGTGAAATTGATGTTATTTTGAAGACTTTGGTGGATGAAGAGGAGGTAATCATGACCACATGCTATATTTGAATGAGGAAGTTGGATGTATAAAATCTTGTTTGGTATTGATAAATGCTTATTGTGTGCTTGCAGCTAATGAACTTACTTTTCTCCTTCTTGGAACCAAATCGTCCTCATAGTGCCCTGCTTGCTGGGTATTTTAGCAAGGTATTTTTTTTATGATACTGGTAACCTTTTGTCCTACTTGCTAATCTCAAAACGGGTGTCTTGATCCACTTTTTTTTTTTTGGCAACTTTAGGTGGTTGTATGCCTTATGATACGAAAGACAGTCCCACTTATGAATTATGTTCAAGTAAGTAACTTTTTAACCTCATCCTTATATTGTATAACTTTAAGTTTCTGCCAATTTTTTTTTTTTTAAATTTTTATATCAATTGCATGAATGCATGACCAGATACTTGGACCTATTGCCTCTTTACATTGCCAGCTTTAGCATCTATAACCCACATTTATTTGATTGCCATGGTTACCTTTGTTTGTTGGGCCTGCTTCCGTTGTAGAAACTCCCAGTAGAAGTGAGAGTCTGTTGCTGAAAGTTTAAATCAATATTATCTTTCCAGCCAACCGTGACCCTTGATGCCAAAATTTGTGTTGTTCCGGCATTAATTATTCTTTAATAAAACACCAGCATATTCTGACAATTTAGCTCTTGAAGTAAATCAAGATTTAAAAAAAAAACACGGAGATTATGCCTAGTGGTTTGGATTATTCTCTGTGTTTGAAGTAATTCCTAATGTTTGGTCTTGTTTAATATCTGAAAGTCCTATGCTTCTTACACACAATTTGGAATTGGGCTGTGCCAAAAATGAGCTACTTGCCTATGACAATTCTTCCATTGACTGTTGTTTTAGAAAAAAATTTCGAGGCCACTGTTTTAGCTGAGAAATATAGGTGTTATCCCGAAATCCATCTTTTGTTTATTCGTGTAAATGTTGTTGATTACTATCATTGTTGTTTACAGGCCCATCAGGATGTTTTCCGCCAGTTAGTTGATTTGATAGGAATTACATCCATCATGGAGGTAATTAAGAATAAAATTTTCAGAATCAAGTTCAAAGTTTTTCAGATGCTTGTTTGTAGTTCAATCTGAGGTGTTTTCATGGTACAGGTTTTGGTTCGACTTGTTGGTGCGGATGACCATGTGTATCCCAATTTTATAGATGTGATGCAATGGTTAGCTGAAAGTAATCTGCTAGAAATGATCGTAGATAAATTGAGCCCTGCTGTAAGTCGGAAGATTATACTCTTGTTTATCAGTATAATTTTTTTTTTCAGTCATTCTACATATTTATGGAACATATTTGTTTAATGAATACTTAGTTATGCACTTGTAGCATCCATAGCCATTATGCATATCCCAGGCTACATTTTGTTTTCTTTTGTCATTCTGGTCACAGTACCTTAGAGAAACCATATATGTTAACTAAATAACCTAATGGAGATTTTTTATTATTTGAATGCTCATATGTCTTGTGTATGTCCACTTTTGAGGTGGATTTCCTCTGTGCACTTCTTTAGATGTTACATAAAGGTGCAGCCTCTTGGATCCAGAAACCATAGTTGAACAGAGAATTGGGAAGTGTTGCATACTTTGTCACCTTAACTGTATGCCTTTGGCCTTTCTAGCTGGAGTTCTAAATGATTTTTATTGTTTTTGGTAAGAATTGATAATGAAAGCGAGACTACTGTGATAGACTTTTAAATAATTAAATGGAGAATATACTAAATGGTAACTCATAAATGTTCATCAGGTTAAGAAGTTTGGAACAAATGTTAAATAACTTAGCTCATTAGCAGCCCTGGTGCATATTGTACATCTAACAACTTCCTTTTACTTTTGGATCAGAATTCTCCTGAAGTTCATGCTAATGCAGCTGAGACACTTTCTGCTATAACTCGAAATGCCCCATCAGCCCTAGCCAACAAACTTTCTAGCCCAAGGTTTGTAATTGGAGCACTTTTTGGTTGGTTTTGAGTTATTACGTTTCTATATATTCTTTATGGGCAATGGTTTTGAGTTCTTAAATAATTCATATGCAGTTTCGTTGCAAGGATATTTGGTCATGCACTGGAAGATTCACATTCGAAGTCTAGTCTTGTAAACTCGCTTTCTGTTTGTATCTCTTTGTTGGATCCGAAAAGATCAGCAGTTTCTTCTCCCTTGTTCCATTCTTTTCGGAGTCAACACATGTACGAGTCTCCAATCCCTGTTAATCCAGACACTGTCAGTGCAATGCTGCCAAAACTCGGTGAGTGTGCAATTATATCTTGCCATGATTTTTTCAAACTACTGAAATTTACATTTCTGTAGCTGCATAGCATGTAAAACTAATTTTTTTTTTTGGGTCTATTTCATTCAGCTTACATCATTGTTTCAGTTTTTCAATTACATTTTCCAACAACAATTTGGAATCTCCATGCTGCTTGTAAATTTTCAATGTAACATGGCCTTTTGTAGCTACTTGAAAGTAGGAAGGGGATAGTGTAGGTCCATGAAAGGTAGAGGTAAACTGATTGAACCTCAGAGCGGACAAAGCTTTGGCTTATGACAAGGCTCATATAATAAGGTGAAAAATATTGCCGTGTCCGGGGAGTGATATATCATATTTGAACAAAATCTGAGGGCTATTAGGATTAATCAGCGGAGTGATACTTTTTCTCTGTCATTGTTGCAAGTCTTGCATTATATTACAGCTGCCTTAAAAGGAACAGAAGAGTTGTTTCTTCAGTATGATTTCAAGATTTAAAGTTTGGTTGTCCAGGTGACTTGCTTATGCTTTTGAATGTGTCAACGGATGAGAAAACACTGCCGACAACATACGGAGAGTTGAGGCCTCCACTTGGAAAGTATCGTTTAAAGGTTGGTATTTTGTTTTTTTTTTTCATTTGGCTTGTGTGAGATAGTTTATTCTCCTTTTTTACCTCGATTGGAGTTAAGACTAGTATTCTGGCTGTTGTTAATGTAATAAATTGTTGACAAATTTCAGAATTTAATTCGGTGCTGGTAGAAATTATTTTTTTATTTATAAGAAATTATGTGTCAATTACTTTTCCACTCTAGATCACAGAAAGCGAAAATTGTTAATTATTGGATATTAGAACTGACAGTGTCAATTGCCATTTTAACTGTTCTGCAATTTATTTCAGATTGTGGAGTTCATTGCTGTTCTATTGAGATCGGGTAACGAAGATGCAGAAAAGGAATTGGTTAGCTCGGGAACCATCCAACGGATCATTGATCTTTTCTTTGAGTAAGCTGTTGCTTCAATTTATTTTATTTTATTTTGAGATAGTTATTGGATATCTAGATTCCTCTCTCTCTCTCTCTCTCTCTCTCTCTCTCCCCCCCCTGAGGATAGCTTGCCAAGAGACATGTTCTTCTCTTTTGTTACACTGAATGATTTACCTGTTCATAGTAACTTAATGGTTTGATCTAATTAATGCAGGTACCCCTACAATAACTCATTGCACCATCATGTAGATAGTATCATATCGTCATGTTTGGAAAGCAAGAGTGATGCTATTGTTGATCATCTTCTTCGAGAGTGTGATTTGATTGGGAAGTTTCTCCAAACAGATAAACATCCTCTTCTATCTAGTGATACTAGCAAGGTAGAGAGATTCAGTAACTGGATAAATGAATGCTTGAATGTGGGCTACTTCTTAAATTTCTGACTGTTGTGGCCAAACATTAAATGCTCAACATGCTAGATATTGTTTATAATGCCTTTAATTCCTTGTTGGATGAGGTGTAATGTAATAGAAAATAGAGCATGCTTAACCTTAAATGGAGTTTGGATTTGTGCAATAGCATGTAGTTATATATATTGATGATTACCTATACTCGGCCGTTGATTTTATTTCATGCTCTGATAGTTTGAATTTTGCCTTGTTATGTAGCCAACGGTACCTGCTGCTGGTAAATCGGCACCACGGGCAGGAAACCTGGGACACATTACACGAATTTCTAATAAGCTCATTCAGTTGGGAAGCAGCCAAAGCCGTGTTAAGGCATGCCTTCAGGTAGGTTTCAGGTTTAAACTTTGAATTGCTATAAGCATACATAAATGTTCACAACTTCTCAAAATTGTGATTTTAACAATGATTGTATCTGATCTTTTGTAACTGTTATATTAAGCTTCTCTAATTTTTTCACCTTTACCTCTCTATTATTGGCAAAACTATGAACATTAGTGCTACTTGAGTGGGATGTTAGTCTTCTTAGTGGCTAATATTTATCTTTAAAATTCTTTGTAAAATAACATTGCTTTGCTGGATCTCTAGGAACATAGCGAATGGAATGAGTGGCAGACTACAGTTTTGCAGGAGCGCAATGCAGTTGAAAATGTTTATCGATGGGCTTGCGGGTATGCTGTTGTGCCATATATCTGCTTTGCAATGCACATTTGTCAAGTATGATTAGGGGCCATTATGAATAAATTACTGTGTTCTGGTTTATATAGCACTCAATCCAAAGTAATGAATTTAACGGTTGGGTTTAAAATAAGGTGTTAAAGATACCTACTGTGATGGTGCGTTTTGCTTCTTTTAGGGACAGAACTGGTTGTCAAGCCTTATTAAAACGGTCAACTTAGTTAACCATTCTATACATTGATTTTTTTAGTTGGATTTGATCTTCAACTTCTGTTTTGTTTCTTCTTATTATGCACAGCCGCCCAACTGCTTTGCAAGACAGGACGAGGGATAGTGATGACGACGACATGAATGACAGAGATTATGATGTAGCAGCTTTAGCAAATAATCTAAGCCAGGCTTTTAGATACAAAATATATGGGAATGAGGACGCAGGAGAGGTATCTAGCTGGGTGCATTGTATTTATTAGTTTCAGCTTTTTGTCATTTTTTAATTTTCCTGGGGGGTAAGGGGATAGAATAGCTTCGCCCGGGAAATTCATCCCCTTACTCTTGTTTTTGGTTCCTCCATTTGTTATTGTTGGATGAATGTTTTGAATTCTTTGCATTGCAGGACCATGGAACTCTAGATCGAGATGACGAGGTAATTAGTTTGGTCATTTCTACCACTGATGTCTTTCCATAGTTTCATGTATTGAGCTTGATGGTAACTATTTTTATTTTAACATGAATAAGCTCTGGATAAAGCTCTGAGGCAGAAACATGATAAACCATGAAAACATGTTTTAACTTTTTCCTTTTTCTTTCTGTAAAAGTAAATATTTGGTTTAATTGCATCCTGAAATGAGTTGGTTTGATTTGTAACATACAGGATGTCTACTTTGACGATGAATCTGCTGAAGTAGTCATATCATCCTTGCGGCTTGGTGATGACCAGGGAAGGTGAGTATTTTGGTTTTTATATCAAGGAAAACAAACTCCGTATGCCACCAGTTTAGGTTTAGTGAAAATACATTGTATGCATGGTCTATAATGATTTGCAACATTTTCCAAACTCTGTATAGCCGCTAGCGGCTGGACTTCCCAACCCAAAAACCCAAAATATCCACAAGAAAAATGAAAAAAGAGATGTACTAAAACTTTAATTATGTACACAGTAATGACAATAATTTAACATGGTTCAAATGGTACAAGACTCCCACACAATACAGAAAAGGATACCAATTAGTCTCCAGGCTTATAGGTTGAATCTGATTCAATATACTAAATACCGAAGAGATTTGACTTTTGTCTATACAATCTGGAAATTCTATATATATATATATATATATATCAGTCCCCTTCTATTGAGGGACACCCTTTAGGGTCCCTTCGAAATTTTTTTCAACGATCCAAACCATCTATTTTTCACATCTTCATTCAGAGATCATCCTTGCAAACAATCATGCAAATTGAAAATCATTAAGGCATCTAATTGAGACCAACAAAATCAATGAACATGGTGCTTCAAGAAAGTACTTCAATTTCAATAATTTAATTGAATGGTCAAATGATATCGGATTCAAGTGATTTTTTGTAGAGATGGTCTTTGAATGAATATCTACAAAATAGAAATACAATTAGGAGTGGGCCCTACAAGGGTCTCTCAAACAAGCTTATTTGAGTCTCTCTCTCTCTCTCTCTCTATATATATATATATATATATGATAAATTTTCATTTGTCAAATAGTCTAGTATTTATTTTCATTTGTCAAATAGTCTAGTATTTTGTCAAACTATGAATTAGGGTTGATATGGTGTGGAGTCATGTCTGAAGTCACTTTCCCAACTGAATTTGACAAAAAAAAAACATGCAACAGTTTCTGTATATATGTTCTTGTAGTGCCTGAAATGGTTGGCAATGATTTGTCATGAATTTTCTATCTCTAGTTCTGGCAATGATGTCTTCACAATGTTGTGCATCATAAGTGTAGCTGTAGAATCAATTATGTAATGGCGATGCTGAATGGTATTAATCCTGAATGCAGCAGTTTATTTACAAATTCCAACTGGTTTGCATTCCAAGATGATAGAATGGGTAATGCACCAGTGGGCACATCAGAGATGGAGGAAGTAAACTTGAATGGGACTGCGAATGGTGGTAATAGCAGTAGTGATGATGAGGTTGTGGTAGGGGAGGATGATGAATTGGCCGGAAGTAAAGACTCTGTCGATGGCACATCCACTTCCAACAAAAACCTTATGAATGGATTTAATGGGAACAGTGGAAACATGAACCCAGATGGTGAGAACGCAAGTGCCTCCCATGATATGGGTGGATTCTTCAGATTTGAGGCAACTGACAATGAGGATTTGTTTGGAGACAGGCCTTTGCCCGAATGGGTGGGATGGAGTGAATCATCAGATTTGCAAGTCGGTGGTGCAAGTATAAATCCATTTGAGGATCATGATGACTCAGATGTCAATCCTTCGAGTCATACCGAGGTAGTGGCACCTGATGCTAGTTTGCCTTCAAGTGGAGAATTTGCTCTTTCAAATGGCTCTCCCTCCTCCACTGCTTCTACTGCAGGGTCGCCGGGTAGTGATGGGAACCAACGATCAGCTGCAGTGCCATCATTATTTGAAGAGGATGTTGAATTTGTTGGCGTCGAACTAGAAGGTACTGAGAAGGCTATGGAGCAGGCTCTTAAACAGGGAATAGTAGGGGAGGCAGGGCCGTTGAAGAAAAACATTGTGCCAAAGGTGCCAGAAAAGGACAACTCCGACGATGGTGGGCCTGCAAATAAGGAGTTCAATGATGCAAATTATTGGAGGGTTGATCAGGAGGTTGCTGTTTTGGAGTAAATGGTGGGTTGATCCTGCTTAAGGCTGTTCAAATCTGAAACTGGGTACAACAGCAGTGGACCCCATTTTCCGGATGGCAGGGTGCCAGCGGCCTATGCAGCAGCAGCGGGAGGTCATATGTACAGTATATTTTTGTTTCGACATGGGATCAGATGGTAGGTTGTGTTATGGTTATTTGCTGTTTACTTATTGTTACTCATTGTTTATTATTTAAGTTTTTTTTTTTAATCTTTGGTTTCGTTCTGATACTGATAATGGGATTTTCCCAAAATCCAAAATATTTAGTTTCGTTTCTGGCTGGAATCATTCTTAATGTGGTATCTTTCATTTGATGAATCTGGACCCGTTACCTATAAATTGGTTAGGTATTATTATTCTATACATATCTACCGCAGTTTTGATGATCAGTGCAGTGCCTTTTCACGCTCTTGATATTTTTTCTTATTAGCAGGCAAAGTGATTGAATATGTTGTCTGTCTGCCTTCTGGGTTTGGTGATTTAGAAATTTCACGCATGTGAATTAACATTCATAAACAATTCTGACCGCAACTCTAAAGCACCAAAGTAACTTAAGGGTTATCTAAGCACATAAAAGAACGGGTTTTTATTTTATTTTTTGGGTAGAAAAGATTGTTCAAGGTTGAGGGTAACATTTCAATGTTTAAAAATTAAATCCTGACAAAAACAAAAACTGTTTAAAAATTAGATGCGAATATAAAAAATAGAAAAGAAAAGAAAAAAATTAGACGCACAAATTCAAATGGCTTATATGCTAGTTTAGTCTTTCAGGGGTGTATTTGCCGAATATTTTGGGGAAGCCTGTGGCTCTCCCAATCCTTGTGTCATACTTCTTCTCTGTGTCTCTCTCTTATGACATGGCTAATCACGTAATAAAAGAGAGGTTATGAAACAAATTGAAGTTTTTGTCCCAAATTAGAGGGCCCGACTTTATAAATAATAGTAGTGAAGTTTTTTTCTTCCACTTTATGTGTTTACTTATAAGCCTAGTTAGTAAAATACGGAACAAAAAGTAACGAATAAAATACGTATGTGTTTTATTCGGTAAAATTTTGGCAAGATACAACTGAAAAGTGAATATAATATTTTAAATATAATATATTTGAATATAATATGTAAATAATACATGAATTTTGTATGTATTATTCAAAATTTTGTAAACGTGAAAAATAAACACGTGTATTAAACGTGAAGAATATGTACGTACGTATATAATACATGCATTGTGTGTTCTTTTTAAAAAAATGTGTATTTTATCGAGTCTTTAAGACGTGCAAGAAAAATGAAAGTACTATTAAAAATACATACATACTAGTATAATACGAGTATTAAACGAGAAAATGCTAAATTCTTTATACAAGTAATAATTCTAGAAAAGTAAAAAATCAAAATGGGACAATAGAGACTCGGGTAATGGCCTAATAGTACTAAATAATGCTCTAAACTACTCTTATCTATAAACCAAAAATAGGGATTTTTTTTTTAAAAAAAAAAAAATCCCCAGTATAGCCGCGCGGCTATAATATTTATTAAAATAGTATTTTTCCGTTTAGTAAGAAAAACAGTATGTTGCTCTGTAATCCGATATAACACGTGGCTGCTGTGCTGAAGTGAATATGGTATTACAAGTATTTTGCTCAGTCTAAGGCGAAAAGACGAAGATACCCTCCGTAGGACATTGTAGAACGTTCAAGAGAGGCCCAACTCCCTCATATTTCAGTTGTTTAGCGCCTCTGCAACTCCATGGACAACCAATCCAGAGAAACTCGGGATAGGGGTCAGGGGCCTGAGGGCTTGAAACCTTGCAGAAGAAGAAGAAGAAGAAGATGATCGAGGTGGTGCTGAACGACAGGCTGGGAAAGAAGGATCGGGTGAAATGCAACGAGGACGACACCATAGGCGACCTGAAGAAGCTGGTGGCTGCCCAGACGGGGACCCGAGCGGATAAGATCCGAATCCAAAAGTGGTACTACATTTACAAGGATCACATCACTCTCAAGGATTACGAAATCCACGACTGCATGGGCCTCGAACTCTACTACAACTGAAACTCATCAATTCAGTTCTACGTACGTACATACGTCGTCGTTTCTTTTCTTTGCTTAAGGGCGTCGGTGGCAATTAATTAACTAATTATGTCATTGTTTATTGTTAATTGTCATTTTTGGGTAATTAATTTGATGGCTAATTGTTGTTGGGCAGCAATCAGATATTGCTTGTTCTGTTTTGGCTTTGCAGATTGTGGGTTGTGTTTTTCATTTTATGATATGATCTGCTTCTTCAAGAGATTAAGGCCCCGTTTGGGATTGCTTTTTTTGGCCAAAAATCT